GGTTTAGGGTTATTAGGGTTTAGGCATAGGTCGGGACCAACAAACGGTGGAGTGCACATTGAGTTCTTGCTGACAAGCATCGCAGCCACAAACCCAAAGAGGGAAGCAGCTAGTGTAGGAGTCTCGATTAGGATCCAAACAGTGGCCCATCATGCAAACCATCACCTTCTGGTTGATCCTCTTACCGTAGCGAACATCGTCACCCCACAGCCAGACTGGGTGGTGCTCCTTTAAATCTGAAGGTGGCTCAACCCCTGTAGAGAATCGTTGTTGGTGGGTCCAGTATTGGTAAACTTCATCCATAGCTATATCGGGCCATCGTCCCAGGCGCACCAGCCAAGGAAGCAACTTGTGTGGCAGAATAATAGGCATAGCCCTCAGCATCACACTTTAAACCTTATAAACCTCTAAGCCCCCTAGGTCTTAGAAGTTGGTGTGCTCGAAAACCCTGGACTAGCAGCACTTGCAACAGGAATCGCACCTGTTCTCCACCTTCTTCACACCCTTTTCAGGCCGGATAGGGACGTCCACATAGTCGATCGGTATCTGGGTTTGGGGTGGGCTAGGTGTGTTCATGATAGGTTGTCTTAATAAGGTTATAAAACTACAGGTCGAAGACTTATTATTATAAGGGCTTGGTGATATGTTGGTATAAGACTTATATTAAACATAGTGCAGGAAGCATCATCACCAGTGGAACTCGTCCGTAACATGTCCCGCTGTATGTTGCTAGCCCATTTCCCGTCAGAGCCGGCTCTCACAAGTCGGGAGCAAGGTCCTTGCATCTTCACACCATGCCAGTGCATCTCCTGTGGCCATATTAATATAATTATAGTTCCAAGTAGACAAACTTATAATTATACGTACTAATTAGCCTCTTAAGTCGAGCCCGCTACAGGTTCAGTTTGTTTGTTGTCTTTTATACGAGGTTTAGGGATATAAGGGGTTATCATAATAATAGCTTCATGGGAGAACTCGGCCTGATGTACAACATGCCTTCGCTAAGACTGCAGGTCCTCTTTCACAGCTTGCAAAGACTCCCGGGCGCTCTTGAAGGAAACCTTGAGTGCAGAGCCACCCTACATGTATGTAGATTGCCATGTACATGTAACACACTGTCGACATTAACTATAGATTGCAAGCTAGCCACTCCACGGCCCACAGCCCGGAGCAAGTGCTGGAACAAAGGCGATGTCCTCGCTCTGGCAAGATCACCTGCGGAGGGCTGGGTTTGCATAGATACAGAACTAAAATCAAACATCAATGCCATCGAAATGACACCCGCACTATCGGATATTTTCGCAGCTGCCTCGGCGGACTTTGTGGTATCCCCCGGATAGAATCCTTTCGAGCCCTGCTTCTAGGAAAGCAAGGGTCATAGTGCAATCCAACTACGGATTTCGGCAGCTCCAGCAAAATCGAAGCATTTCCCTGCCGAAGGTTCTAGCAGCATGCAGGTGTGCTTGGATCCAGGAAGCGTAGACCAAACTTGGTACACCGTATGTGCTTATTGTAGCATAGATACATATATAGTGATACAGAACCCAGATCCCACGGCACACAACAAGCTGGGCCCTCAACCTATAATGCTTCAGCCCACACGAGCTCCGTCTCAGAGCTCCGTCTCAGTTTCTCTCGGCTGCGCATGCGGTCATCCACGTGCCCGCCCCTTAGCCTTAGCCTTGGCCTTCGGCTTCGGTGGATCCTGGGATAGGTACATGTAGTCTTGATATATAGTGTTTCAGGGTGTGGGCTTTGGGCTTATAACTATAGCTTTTAGGGTTTTAGGGTTTAGGGTTCAAGGTTAAGTTTACAAGTATATAGTAAAATTAGGGTTTTTAGTGTTTTTATTGGGTGTTTAGGATTTAATATTATGAAGGCCAAATACAATTATTGAGTCGAATAATATGTATCTATATATGTATATATATATATATGACAGAAACAATTTTGCATAAGGTATATCTAGATAGGTTCTAGCATACGTAGTCCCGTTCATGAATGCCTAGTGCGATTTTGCGGCATGGGTTCCGGTGTAATCTTCCTGTAGCTTTAAATAAAGATACACATGTTGTACAGTTATATCATCAGTTTAAAATGATATATGTACATGTACATGTGTCTCAGGGGTTGCCTAGCGCTTGATGCACACACACACACGTACAGGGCTCTCTGCATTAAAGGCTCCAGAGTCATCTTCAGAGGCTTCATGGCTCCCGTGAAGTTTGTCACCACTGCATCTGCACGTTCAAGCAAGCTCTGAATGCTGTCTTTGGTTTCCTCACTCATGTCAACATCCTTCGTTTTGTTGTGAATGCTGTACAAACCCTCGAGTTCCCCTTTGATGCGACTGAACTGGTTCTTGTGGCCATCCAGCTCCTCCTGGTAGTTGTCCTTCGCTTTCTGTGACCTGGGATGGAAAGTTTGATAAGCTTAATTATGGGATAGGGGGGATGTTCCACCACATGTCTGCTAAGGGATCTGTCTAGTGGCAGGGATGAGTCGGACAATTCCGTAGACCAGACTATAATCTCGGTCATCTTGCTGGCCAGTGCTTGTATCTTCACATTCAGTTTTTTTGCAACACTGTTGGGGTTCACTTTTGTCAGCTTCTCGCCCTTGCCCTCCCCTTTCTGTCCGCCCTTCAAGGAATCGGTGGAGCTGCTCTTCTGGAGCATGGACAGGACATCCCGACCAGTGCCACCGGTAGCAGCATTGTTCGGCATCAAGATCGGCCTGGGCTTATAGAACTTGTTTCAGGAATTCTATTCTTAATTATACAAGGCTTCTATAAGGGTTTAGGTTTATAGGTTATTAGGGCTAAGGGTTTAGGGTCATATAGGGTTTAGGTTAAGGGTTCAGGGTTAATAGGGTTACTAGGGCTTTGGGTTTAGAAGGGCTTGGGGTTTATAGGGGGTTTCGTGTTTAGCTAGGGTTTGGGGATGCTTGTTTGGGGGTTGAGGCTTCAGTAGTTGGGGCCCAGGGAGCTTTGTTCATCATATAATATAGGGTTTGGTTTGTCATCTGCTTTTCACACATGTGCAATACAGAGTGTGCGCAGGATATCAGGTGTATACGGGGGTCCAGCAGGGCTCCACAAATGTATATTATATATGCTATTTAAACACGTGTGTATACATGTATCGTATATATAATATATATACATGTATCTACATGTGAATATATACATATGTATATATATATATGTATATGTATATGTATATGTATATGTATATATGTGCATGTATTGGGCATAGCTAGCATCAAGCGCTAGTGACAATATATATGGGAACTAGATACAACCGCTTATATAATGTGGATTCTAGAGATGACTGAAATCAGCTTAGGCTGCAAGCTAGGCTCGCAAGCTGGCCTGCAGCCTGGGACGAAATGTTGCCTTCGGAGTGGAAGCCTGCACTGGTCTTGTTGGTCTCGCTGAGCTCGAACTCAATCTTGTCAAAGACTCGGAAGAGCTCGAAGTTCTTAGCTCGGGCAATATATATATATACATGTGTATATAACCCAAATAGGCAACATCAACATACCAAGCTTGTGAAATAAAGTCCAGGGGGCGGGGTCATCCGTTATATCCGGATGATTCATGTGAAAAGGTTTAGGGTCTACGCGTGGATCGCGGTGACGCTCGTTTTCATATTTTCGGGACCGAATCCCCTCCGCCACCTTCTTGCCGTGAAGCTCGACGAGAGTCTTGAACGTCTTCATGCATTCGTTGGCTTTGATCGATTCTTCATTCACACGAACCGCATCAATCACGAGCTGAGTCTTCGCCCAGTCTTCATCGGCTTCAAGCCACTGCTGAAACCACACAGAAAGTGTTTTGAGGCGATCTCGGCTGTGAAGGAATTCCGGAATGAGCAAAACACTCATGATCATGATGTCTTTAACAGTAATTAGACGAGGCACTGGGTTGTCCCTGGAGCTCCCCCAATTTCTCGAGGACCACCGGCGGACAGTCCGCACCTGAGCAGCAGTCCCAAGCTCGCATAGAATCGAAGTGTATGGTTTGGAGCTTCACATGCATTCTTACGACAGGCTGCTATTGAAGGTTCTGTCGAAGCGGACACGGGCATTGTGTCTGAGTCGTTTGGCTTCCTTGGCCTCCCACGCCAAGCGCTCCTCCTCCGTCTGAAACTCCTGAGGCTCGACCTTCGTTTTGCGGAGCTCCTGCTTTGGAGAAGGCTTCGTGGGCACTGCAGCCTCTGTGCTCTCCGGTGGGTTCTCGGCACGTGGCATCGCAGCCTGTACCATCAGTGGATACAATAGTTTAATAGTAATAATATAGAGTAGCCTGAGAAACTAGAAGCCGTTGATGATAGCCAACCTCAATTTCCGATGTATCCAATCGTTGCATGGCAGCGTGTGCACCCTGCTGCTGCCAGGAAATCTTCGGTGGCGGGACATGATCACCATTGCCTGGAACCTAAGTTCGGGATTCTGTGTTAAATTAATTAAGGTTTTCGAAGTGTAGATGGGGTCAGTTCCAAGCTTTACAAGTTTATAGGTTTAATGTATCTAGACATAGCGGTGTCTTGGTCCCTCAAACCATAATATATATATATATATATGTATGAGCCCACCACTTAGGCTTATATCTATATACATATTACAGATATATATATATATATATATGTGTGTGTGTGTGTTTAAGCACAGCTAAGCAAAAGTTAATAAGCTCGTACATACTATGCTGGTGCATGCCCCGGGTTAGCCCCACATCCAGCCCCTAGCATAAATCAATAAGTAAATACATATATACATAAATGTTGTGTAAAGCTTAAGGGAGCAGCTACTATTTAGGAAACCGTGTCCAATCAATTCGTTTGGTAACATCCGGAACCCAGAACTTTTAAAACATAGGGTTGCAACAAGCACTGCAGTGCATTAAGCCATGCAAAGCATGATCTGGAGTCGCAGGGCCTGCTTTCTCACTGCTTTCGGATTTGGGGGTGTGGGTGGGGCTTGGACATCGATATCATGTTTTTGTTACCTCAAATGTCCGATTGAAGCTTTGGGTTTAGGGTTTAGGTCGATATATGATATATATATATATACATCTATATGTATATATGTATATGTACAGCACGAAATACTTAAGGAAGCAGTTTGTTTTTTTTACATACATACATATGTGTATATCTATAGTGTGTGTAGGCAGCATGTAGTCCTTGTTATATAAGTATATAATAACTACATCTACTTTAATAGGATTGGTTTCTCGTCCCGATCACATGAAGTCTTCTACATTGTAACTTATACAGTGTTTAGCAGTGACAGTGATAGGTACAACTATGTCTAGGGCTGACCCTAAACCCTAAACCCTAAACCCTAAACCCTAAACCCTAAACCCAGGATCAGGCTTCGGGTCTCAGGGGTACAGTTGATGAAGGTTACAAGTTTAGGGTCAGGGTCTAGCTGTACATAGGGGATTGTGGGGCTAAGGCTTCACTGGCAACATGCAGCACAGGTACGGGCGATGCAAGGGCAGACGTGCTGGCAGTGTCAGAAGGTGGAGGCACCTCCTTCTCCTGCAGCTGCAGGTTTAGATGATTGTCCAAGTCCATACACAAAGCCTCCTCGTCCTCTTCGGGTAGGCTACTGTTGTTTGTGCTCTGGTACTCGGACTCGGCGTTTGCAACAAGCATCAGGACTGTCTCAGAGAAGGTGGCAACATAACCATCCAGTTTCTTGCACACCTCCTGCTGGGAGAGGTCCTTCTCATCCAGCTTCTGACTAACCCACTTGTCGATCTGGTCAAGCTTGCTCTGCGTGACCTCCGCCGAGAAGCCCTTGCCTTGCACTTGCTGCTTTTTGGTAGCACCAACATTCACGATGATGTTGCTGTACTTGAGGAATAGAGCCTTAGCTTCCTCGTACTCCTTCTGCAAGCCTAGCATGGAAAGACACGTCTCGTGAAGGCTTCTAGCCAATGGTCCGGATCCACTGTCCTGAGCCTCAAAAGCCCCGTTGTACTTGGCAGCAACCAGTCGAGTCCACTTGAGAACCTCGAAGGCCCTCCCTGAAGCATCGGCATCACCGTGCCGATAAACCCACTCTGAAAGCTTGCCCGGGCTTTGCTGCATGTCCAGACAGGTAGACTCGGCTGGAACAAACATGTCTATGTTGCCCCGCGCTTGGAGAGTGTGTGCCATGTCTAGCACAGGGTCGGCCGTGTGACCCAACACCATAGCCTGCTGAAAGTCAGACACAATCGAGTGCCCACGGTTGAGGGGGATGGTATCCTGTGTATCCACATGCCTTGGCATACCTTGGTGAGAGAGTGAGTTTGCAGGAACTACCAACATCCAAAGATATGCTGATCATACATTCCACACTATCTGTGTTCCAATTCGGTATGGTACAGAGCACAGAGCTGTGGATATCACACTAGAGGGGCAAACACATGTATGCAAACACAGGCTCCTATGCATATCCACAACTATAGCCATACTCGAGTTATTACAGTGCAGCATCAAAGTGTGATGTTATCATCCGGTCCATATGTAAGAACATGCATTACTAATAAGTAATGACTATATTCATATATATATATATATATAAATATAAATATACTCTAATAATATGTACTTCTTAGTTAACATCTGGTCTGTTCACAGTATACGTATGCATGCACACATGGTCTTAAGCATGTGCTACCTGTACAAGTCTAACCCCTATAATATAGTAGCCCTCAACCCTAAAGCAACACCAGCCACAGCAATGTCATCGCAAAACATAATTGATCCTCCACGGTTAGCTACATCAGTCTCTATGATGCATCGATTGGGTACACAACTCACGGAGTTAGGATGAACCAGGATGTAATTGCAACTTACAGCATCGGCCATGTGCAACAAGGTCAAGTGCCACTTGAGCTGCGTGCTCCGCTACAGGTGCACCAACCCGGCTGTCATTGGGACCAGGGGGATCAGGATTCTGCTTCTGGGACTCATTGCCTCGGGATTCCTTTGCTGTAGCCTCTGCTGGTGTGCCCTCACTAGGGTTCTGCTTCGGAGTTCCCTTATTCTTGTGATCAGGAGCTTCGGGGGGATCAACGGAGATCTTGGCTGCTTCTGGGGGCCCATTGCCTTGGGATTCCTCTGCTGTAGCCTGTGCTGAGATGTCCGAGGTCTTAGAACGGGGTTCGGACTCAGGCATCGGGGATTCAGGCTTTCTCTGCACATCTGAGAACAGAGGGGGCTTCGGCAGGGAGGGCTTTTGATCGCCAACAAACTCGTCCGGCTGGGTCTCCGCCAAAGCATTGTCAGTGAGGGTTTCCTGGGATCCGGCTTGGGTCGATTATTCTTATAAGGGTAATTTAGGCTTTGAATATATATGTATACATATATGTGTATATATATATATATTCTCTAGGGTTTAGGGTCTAATTAGGCATTATCAATTAATAATGTATCAGAATGGATCAAGGCTCCAGGTGATCGTCGAGCTTAATCTTCTTGTGGAACGGGCTCTTGATTTGAGGGGAAGCCATAAGAGCACCAGCAGCTTTGTCAGAAGCAGCTTTGGCAAACTCACCGGACAAGTCCTTCCTAGGGTTGCCTCCAAGAGGAGATGCGCGAGGCTTTACAGGAGGTGTCGAGGTGCTTCGTGCTGTGACCTTTTCAGGCCTGGCACCTCGGCTGGTTGCTCGGGCACCTGGTCTCGGTTTGCTTTTGGCAGAGCCATGATCAGGGGGAAGCTTGGTAGTCTTCGGGGCCACAGCAGGAACCGAAGTAGCCGAAGGTACCGAGGAAGCATCACCTAGCATTGCATGCCACAAGTAGATCTCATGATCACAGACTTACCCAAGGTTAGTCTGAAAATATGCTGCAATTTAGGGGCTCCCCAGGGATTTTCTGCTGTTGCAGCGACGCATGGCCTGCTGCATTTCGGCCTCGATATCGAAGCTCTCCTGGGCAGGTGTACATGCACAGGTTTCAGATCACACATAATAAGGGTTATTTAGCTAGTGTGGTCCAGGGGCCTTTGCAGCTTTGGCCTTTTGGCCCTTCGTGGGATACGGTGCAGCTCTCTCTGCACCACGGGACATGGCGTAGGCACTACACCCTGAACACTCGCAGCGTAAAGAAACCCAGAAACCCAACAGGAGAAAACGGCCCAGGCACGGGGCAGCGTAAACTACCCCAAATATTTTTCACATAAGTTCACATGGTTTTCACGCCCACTTTTTGGTAGTTGGGACCTTTGGGCTGTTTTTCACACGATTTCACGCTGTTTTCACATGGCCACCCCTACGTAAGCCTACGCTGCCTCTGGGGGCCCAAATGCTGGAAGCACCCTGTCGTACGTTTTCACGTAGAGGCAGATCGCATGAAAGCCCAAACCAACCGAAAATCCCCACCTGGACCTGCTATCTAGGGATATCATGCTACAAGTGGCGCCTAGACGTACGTCACAGTCGACTAAGAGCTACAAAGCCAAAGCATCACACAGCTAGATCCTCTATTAGAGCAATATAGGGACCCCTGGACTCTGATACGAGTACACTTTGGCTCGTTCCGGAATCGAGGCTTCGATCGCATGGCTTCCGAGCTGCTGCAAATGGTGCACAAGGCAGGGTCAGTGGGAAGCGTCACATTAATATATGTCCTGAGATGTATAGATAGCTGCCTAGAGCAGCTGCTAGCTAGAGTTCATAACTACAGATTCTACCAGACCACTACTAAGCACAACCCTAAACTCTCATGATCATGATGATTATATACAAGTTATGATTATGCTCGTATGTGTGAATCCTTGTCCTGTATACATGTGTACATGACCTCTATAGTCTTGTTATACAATATGTAGTTTATGCCAACCCGAGACAGTATATATATATATATATTATTATATGATCCGGCTCATTGGCCTGTTCGAACCCATGCCTAGGGATCAGGCTTATAATTAGGGTTTAGGGCGAGGGCTCAGGGTGAGAGAGAAAAACAGACAGGAGCTCAATAATGTAAATGTTTCGTCCCGAGGATAATTACAATTGTTACCAGACTATAGACACCGGCAACAGCTCCTAGTTCAAATTGGCAAAGCCGAATTTGCTGCAGCACTTCTGATGCAAGCTTCCTAGAAGCGGACCATGCAGTGGTGTGCTGTACTGCAGCTAGAGCAACAACAAACTACAAGCAGACACAGCTGCAAGTGCAGGATTCTGTATAGTTATTATTATTTATATTTGGTGGAAAGACCAGTCCCTATCCAGAGCTACCTTGCTAGTCCGATCCAACACTACTTGCCTAGCTCATATGAAGTGCTGCGGCTCAGAGACAGCTAGTGTTCCCTGCGGGGTGCTACATATATTTATGGAACAATCACAAACCTCAACTCCCCCTGAGGGTGTCTTATGTCAAAACCAGAGTCACCTCTCCCAATCAGCTAGCACCATATGCAAGAACCTGCAATATCCATTTATACACCCCACAAGCTCGGAACACTCGTGCATCGAGGCCAATACCTCGAGTCTGGAGCCCATCCGTGTATGACACGGCAGAATGGGATGATCTCGGGGGTTCTTGGGTTAGGGTGTTAATTATAGTTGTTTGGAGCATTAGTGCAGCTTTATACATCTAAACTGAGTAGCACCAACTGCAGAGGCAAAGTAGGTAATCGTGCAAGCATGGATGTGTAAGTCATGTAGGATTCTAACTTCTCGGATGCGAGCCTTACAACCGTTGCCCATCTATTTTACTCCTGGAGTGTCTAATTGGTTCTAGGCTAGAGCCTCTCAGTCGTAGCTACACATGGGCTTCATTCGTACATAATAACTAGTCCATCTACAGGTCTGCCAGGTCCAGTCTAGATATGATCGTGATGAAAATACAGGGTGTAAGGTATGCAACACAGGATCATCCGATTACCTTGGCCGTGCTAGGTCTTGCATCTGCCTTTAATTAAAGCATGAAGCCGAACCGGCCCCGTACCTGTCAGCCTCGGGACCCCAAACCTACTACGGAATCTGTTCGCAAATCTGTGTGCTAAGGATTATAGCTTCCATATACAGGCTAGTCATGATATCGAGCACCATGCTAGGGCTGCTAGGGGCTCTACCCAAACACGCCCACATCTTAGCAGAGGCACGATTTAGGATTGAGGGTTTGGGGGGGGTTGTAGGGCTTCTTATAGCATACACCCGTATACACTCTCATATGTTCATTATACTTTCTAAATGAATACATCTATATGTATATATGTTTATATATGTTTACATATATACATTTATATGTGGGTGTGTGAGTCTGCATAAAACATGTACAATACATGCACCCTCGTTTGGAATCCTTCCACCCGTTCACATCTACACGCTGTCAGGGTCTAGGGTTTGTATACTGTAAACAAAATTAAAGGCAAAGTTAGACAACCCCGCAAAGGTCCAAGGCCCAGTCAGGTACAGCAGACCAGAGCACCATAAGTTGTGCCAGGAACTACATAACATTCATATCACACAACAGCCATTATCATGCCCTGCTAGCGTGTCAACCCGGGACAATAAAGAACACATACTTATAACCCTATATCACTTTGTGCTCTACAACCAACAACACCCGAAGCAACACTAGAACTAGAACCATGTTAGGTAGTACATGTGCACCACGTCCTATATCAAGGCCCTGGCTCTACTTAACAGTTGCTGTTGAAGCTGGCCCAGCTGCTGAGGCATGCACTGCAGACAGCGTTGGCGCAGGGGAAGCTGTGGATCCGATCAAGGCATCTATGCAGAGTGTGGGTCGGGCTTTCAATATGGCTAAGCTCTCCACTCCCAGCTGCAGACCCCTATACTTGCTCAGCCAGTAAAGACATGATGTTTCCCCCCTCCAAGCTTTGCCTCAGGATTTTTGTAGGGGATACAATGCAAGTTGCAAAACCCTTCAAAAACTTCTTGACTTCCAGACAAAGCAAAAGGAAGATCACCATTGGGGCGGAATTCCCCCTCAGTAATGGCCTCCTCCAAGAACGTCTTGATGGTCTCGAGGTCCGCGTGGCTCCAGTCCCCACCAGGATCCTGAAGTGCTTCGCATCATCATATGCACAGATCTAGGCCTAAAGGGTCATATGTGTTATAGCTTGCCATGTAGCCTGGTACCCAAATTGCAAAAGCATAGCGAGGTCTGGCATTTCCGGGTCAGTAGCCTCAACTTGCAATCGTACTAGGAAAGAAACTGCATTGGCAATGTCATGATTTCTGCAACAAATATAGCAGCTACTAGCTGGTTCAGGCCCCCCACCAGCCACTCAGAGTGAAGGGCACATACCACCTTCCCAAAGTCGGCAGGATAGGCACTGGAGGATGTCAGGTCTTTGCCACCCGTCCTTACACTAGCATGCTTCGAAAGCTGCAACCAACGGGCCAGAAGTGATTGCAAGTAACTACTGCATGTGCACACTGCTGATCCTTGCAATTGAGGACAGTACACCTTCCGTTGGCCCTCGACAAATGTCACCTTCACCATCTCATGATCCGAAAGCCTCTTCCGCTTCTTGATGTCAGCTTTGATGTCAGGGGTGAGCTTCCGGTACAGCTTCCAAAGCCAGGGCCTTGGGATGGACTTATAGGCAATGTCTGAGAAGGGCACACGGGGTAGCTAGTAGGATGCTCTCCAACATGTGAATAGGAATTGTTCAGAGGGACGGGGCGGCTCTTTGTTTACATCGGGGGTACGGTTTATGATCATGACTGTCTAGAGCTAGCTACTTTAGTCATACTGACATGCAGACCTTGTGCATAGTACGAAGTGTCCAACATTCTAGTGATGCAGGTGTAATCCGGTTGAGTAGACTCATTAATCTAGAATATATATATATATATGTATA